TATATATATATATATATATATATATATATATAAAGCAAATATTTTCAGCCACCAATGTGCAGCTCAAGAGTGAAATCCTTTGTTTCTGTCAGTATACCATATATTATAAAAGCAGTTAAGTATTACCTGCACATGAAATACTGGAATTGGACAAGCAACTGAGCATTTTCACCTTCATATGTCATTTAATCCTTCAATCTATGATCATACACTTAATGCGTGTCACATTTTTTTTCAATTAAGTGTTACATAGTTGATACTTATAATTTAGCTTTTCAATAATAAAAAGGGATATAAAATTAACATAAGGTATGTTTTTATTCCTTTTACTGAATCAACTACCATCAAATATCCTATTATCAACTTCTCACTACAATATAGAAGTAAATTCAAATGTTACAGAAAACATGAAAAAACATAATTTAAGTGTACATTTTATAGCTTCCACCTATGTGATGAATATCAAATATAATTAAATTAAGTTCAAGCTGAATAGTTTCATAATTATTAAGTATTTAATCATACAACTTTATATTTTTTATATCTTGTTAAAATTAAGTATATCCACCCCTGTTAGGCCTGAGAATGTGGATATTTTTTAATGTATAGAAAAACTGACCTAACATGCAGGATAGCAAATTTAAAGACCTTTTGGAAACCTAATATTGTTCTTCAACTGTCTGATGTCCAAGGAGAAATTTTAGGTCTGTTTTTTACTTTTTTTATACAGTTCATGTTAGTATAAAACCTAAAGTTATATTTAACATTTCTAATAAAAAAATCTTCAAAATAAAAGAGTTCATGCTTTCTTGACCTCTTTTTTTTTGCCTATTTTAATATGCTTCGGTTTTCCTTTTTATTTATACCATTACTTTATATACGTTTCGTGTATTTGTATTATTTTTATATTTTTTAATTCCCTTACTCATCCAGTTTCAGAAGTTTTCAGTCTGAATGCAAAATCTTAGAAGGAATATTTAATACAATCTACAGATAACAAGGGACCATTTGGAACTTAAAGGCTGACCCTGCACACCTACACTTGAGAAAAGTGAATACTTTAACCCATCCTTTTCTTTTCCAGAAGTAATTCTTTACTTAAACTCCTGTAAAGTGTCAGCCTCCACTACTTAGAAAGACAACTTATTCCACAAGATAATCACCACGACAGAAAAATAAAACCGTCTTTTCCAAATATTAAAATTATGTCCTTATATTACATAAAGGTTGTAACCTACAATCCCCTGGATTATTTTGTAAGCTACAATAAGACCAACTCTAACTCTTCTTGAGAGATCTTAACCCATCCCCATAAGAGACCAAAATTGCACAAATACTCAAAATGACACCTAACAAGAAACTTACAAGGGAATTGTGGTATCTTTAGATCCATAACCTATATTCCTACACAGATATATATATTTATATATATAACCTATACAACCCAAAATTCTGTTAGCTTTATTACTCACAATAGAACACTGTTACGAAGACTATTAACCAATACTACAAAGCTCTCTCTTCCTCATATTCATAATTAAGAGTAATCTCATCTAAATTATATGTTTAATTTATGTTAGGATAGCCCACATCTATAACTTATAATTAAATGTAATTAACATGTGTTTGTCCAACTAACCAACCAATCTAATTCTCTCTATATATAATTACAGCAACCTTACTACAGCCAAACAAACTTAACTAATATCCTATATCCCTATCAAAATGAGAAATAGCAAGGGTACAATCAGACTGAATTCTATTAATAACAACTTTACTTCATTATCACCCATCATCTATCTATTTAAATTAATTCTAAATGAGGTAATTTTGTTTTCACCAATCTTTTGTGCTGTGCCCTACAAAAATCTTCCTGATAATCTAAGTAAACCAAATCCACTTCTTTACCCTCATCTAAATAAGAATTAAAGCAAAATCACCACATTACCATACTGATTGTCCAACAAAATTTTAAACTTCATCAAATGTTCTTACAAAGCATCTTTCATTAGACTCTCTAAAGCTTTCCTCACCATTACGGTAATGATAAATAGCTTAAATTCCATGAGCAATGCCTATCTCATCCTTCAAAATTGGATTAACATTAACCACTCTCCAATCTCCATGTGTCTGCTCCCTGTCCAAGGACCTACTAAAAATTAAAGCAACAGCTCAAATATCTGGTCCTTAACTTTCTTGATATGTATCCTGTGAATTCCTTTTCGAAATAAGAAACTAACATGTAAGTGTTGGAGAATGGATGGCACTAAAAATCTCTAATGTTCAGTCACTTCATCTTGATAATTATAGACATCTGTAAGCTCTTGCTAAGGGCTTTACTTTTTAAGTTTAAATTTAATTAAATTATAATTCGAAATTTTGATAACTTAAGACAAGGTTGGTAAGTACATAGATGCAATCAATTTCTCAAGTTTTTATTACAAACTCGAGATAATTTATAAATGAAATATTAGTCCACTTACCATACATTCATACGCTTGCAAGTAAGAAAAAATAAAGAAAACCCTTCGTTTCTTCTCTCTTAACAAAACAGGTGTTTACTAATATTACTATTATTAGGCAATAATGACAAATAGTGAAATGTTAACATAACTACAACTAAACTTTCAAGTAACTTAACGTTTTGACGAAGTATTTCATCCAATTTGATTTTTAATTTTAGCCTCATGCTGCTAAACTCTTAACTGAACGTCACAGCTTAATTAGCAAATGCTTTACATTAAAAATACCCTAAGTATAACAAGATAATTACATACCAAAATATAACAATCAATCACACACAAAATGTCCAGTTTTCAAGATTTTCAAGTCGCATTACATAGGACCTACCGTCACCGTACTATAAAAACGCAAGTCTCTAACTTTAGCTTAGGAAGTAATACACTATTACAGCATGCGTTTAAGAGTATAATATTCTCTAACCGGGTTCTTTTATAGATGTACAAAAAATCATGCTATATTTATAACTGTATTATAATATCTATATCAGTATATTGATCGTAGCAATTTTTTTAAAGCACGAATATTTTTATGACAATAGTTTTTGCAGACAAAATATATCAAAGGGAAAATATATTTAATGACCCGCTCACTAACAAGCACAGTAATATGGCGACTTCCATGGATTCGTTATGCGAGGACTTTCTTGAATTTCAGGTACATTTTTCTAGAGTATATGTTTATTTACTATTATAATATAGAAAATATTAGGTCAGATTGATTAAACGTGACACTTTTTCAAATATATACTGATTAGCTAAACTGAATATCAATGTTTTGTGCGAATTGTGGTTTTTAAACCTAAGTGTAACTGTACTGTAGTACTAATGAGTCTATTCTGTTGAGCAACAAATTTCATTTTCAGCCCTTGGCTTCTGCAAATGGGAAACTATTAGATTTGGAGGGAAGGGAAACAAAAGGGTCAGAGAAGGATGAGGATGATAAGGAGGTTAAAGTTATAACTATAAGTGATTCCTTGATAAGGCAAGTGGATAGAATAGTCTGTGGAGTCAATAGGGAGAAAATAATCAGATTATGCTACCCAGGGGCACAGGTGAAGGATATAACTGACAGAGCAAGAGATATAACAAAGGGGGCTAGCAGAGATGCAGTTTCTGTAGTACATGTAGGAGCTAATGATATAGGGAAAAGTTGGTCAGAGGAGCTAATTAATAAGTACTATAAGGGGTTGATACAGGCACTTAAAGAAAACGGCCATAGGCATAACTTAATTTTGTCAGGGATACTGCCCAGAATTAACTGTGGGGATGAAGTTATAAGTAGGTCTTTAGGGTTAAATGCTAGGCTTAGGTTAGTATATAAGGATGAGCAGATTGGCTGGTTGGACTTGTGGGATCAGTTCAGTGAGAGAAGAGAGCTTTTTGCAATGGGTGGTTTACATTTAAATAGAATAGGGGCTAGCTTGTTTGCTAAGACTATTAACTCAGCTGTAAGGGAAGTTTTAAACTAGGACTAGACAGTAGTGAGAGCCAGGAAAACTGAATGCAAAAAGAATAAGAAGCAGAGAAAAGTTTAGCATAGGAAATGAGTACAGAAGTAGTTATAAGTTACAATATTACTATTATAATGCTAGAAGTATAAGAAATAAAATATGTGACTTTAGAGCATTGGTGGGAATGGAGGATTTTGTTATAATAGGAATACCTGAAACGTGTTACACAAAAATGAATTTGATGACAGATTTTGTTTTTTAAATACAGGGTAACAGGCTATTTAATAGGGATAGAGTATTAAAGAGGGGAGTAGGAGTGGATTTATATGTAAAATGTGAGTTACATCCTGTTGAAGTTGAGGATATCAAAGGTAATAGCAAAAAGATTGAATTCATTTGGGTTTCTATTAATGAATATAAAGGAAAAAGGCTTTTAGTGGGAATTTGTTGCAGACCACCAAATGATATTGATGAAATTATTGAGAAACTTTAGAATGAGATTAAGATTTCAGCCATTAATGAAGTCATAATTATGGGTGATTTTAATTTCAGGCCTATAGACTGGAAAATTCTAGAATCAAATCATGAGGGAGAAAGGTTTTTGGAAACTGTTCAG